GGCCAGATACTGAAGATGAAACTCAAATACTTTGGCCACCTAATGAGAAGGAAGGACTCCCTGGAGAAGAGCCTAATGCTGGGGACAATAGATGGCAAAAGAAGAAGGGAACGGCAGAGGATGAGGTGGCTGGGTGGAGTCACCGAAGCAGTCGGTGTGAGCCTAAGTGGACTCCGGGGATGGTGGGGGACAGGAAGGACTGGAGGAATGTTGTCCATGGGGTCGCGATGGGTCGGACATGACTTCGCGACTAACAACAACAAAAACAACATGTTCAGGAAAACGACCCCACTTCAAACCATGGTTTATGATCCTACCTTCTTTTCCCAGCTAAGGCTAGCCACAATTTTAGGTTTGAGCCCAACAGACCCAGTTTCACAAGGAAACGGAACTGCTCCGACTGCTGCTTTTGGCCACAGAGGAGTCCTAAGGGCAGTTCTGTACACGGCCAGAGACTCCAACCAGGTGAACGATCGCTCAGATGGTGCAGAAGCCCAGCCAGGATGAGGCCTGCTCAAGAGCTGCCCGGGTGGCCCAGGAAATAAACTGCCTGGGCCCTGCATCCCGTCCACACACAGAGACACCTCCCATTTTTCTTGACTTCTACCCATGGAAGGAGTAGAAGGAACCCACACATTTTGCCTGCAGATCCAGGTAACAGCTGGGCTCCACCTTTGCCAAAGTGGAAGTCTGTCACTGTGTCTTCATCCCGGAGGCCCAGGCGTGACCCGTCACTGCACCACCTACTGGGGGCTGATTCAGTCGGCCTGCAATCCCCATCCCGAGACCTGTGACACCTGGCCTAATTTTTGTCCTGTTTTGCTATTCTCTTTTCTCCAGCACCCGCTCTCTGCACCTGATGAAAAGTTCTGGGGAGTTGAATATGAACACTTATTTTGTGGCGTTACAGTTGACCCCAATAAAACATTCCAGGCTGAAACTACAATCTAAGTGAAACTGACTGTTTTTACTTGTTTCTTAGTCCTTGCAGTAGGAGGAGGGCATGGGGAGACGTGGCCAGGCGGAGAGCTGTCGACCTCCCCTACCCATCTGCAGTCGTCCTGATTTGAACTAAGCCTCCAGGTGCTTTCATTAAGAGAAGCAAAACAGGACTCAAAAGCACCTACATATTTAACATAACCTCCAGTTCAGCTCTGAGTAAAATGAGTTTATTTCTTTATTAGATTCATAGTCCACCCTTTTTCTTACAAGGAACTCAAGTGCCTTACAACTCAGTCTTATTCCCACAACAACCCTGTGAGGTAGGCTGGGTTGAGTCTCCAACTGGCCTGATGTTGCCCAAATGGCTCCATGGCTGAGCGGGGACTATATACCAGATCACCCGAGTCCCAGTCCCAGGCTCTTAACCACTTCGCCACATGGGGTCTCTGCTTCATCCACACACATTAGTCCTCTGGTCTCACCAATGAAATTCAGCATGTCTAATTTTCATTAATCTCTGCAAAGTGCATTTTCCTTCCAATAAGGGGTGGGATAAATAACTCCACAGCAAAGACCAAACTGGTTTGGTGCTAAGTATTCCCAGTTCTGCACTTCTGGGTTCCAGCTTTTAAATGCTTCGTGTTCTCTCTCTCTCTCTCTCTCTCTCTCTCTCTCCCCACAACACAAGCACACACCAACTGTGTGCTTTAACCACTTGCGCAGCGTGACCTGGAGATTTCCTCCAGCTGCTGCTCACACGGCCCGCTGCACACCATGTCCCTTGGACAAGGCCGCCAGAACCAAAACGGATTAGCCAGGACGAAGGATGGCTTCGCCCTCGGTCCAGCACTGGCCGCAGCCCAGGCGTACAGGCACCCTGTTGCGGAACCGCCAAGCCCACCGCTGGTCCCGGTGCTCTGGAGCCTGTGCCCGGACAAGCACTGTCCCTCTGGGCCTTCATTACTCGTTCGCCGGGATGAACCACTGGAATAGGCATCCCGGTTTCAGCCCTCTCATCCAGTCTCACCCAACATGCGAAATAGCTGGGTGAGAAAGCGGGCGCGTCTCATCCCCAGTGTGTGTGCCTGTGAAGACACCCAGTTGGACACTAAAGCCAAAATGGCATGCCAACAAATGCCTATTTATTGGAAAACAACTCCCAAGTAAACGCAGAGGAATACAATGCTGAGTAAATAACCAGAGGCGAGTTCAAGATCCGTCACACTTAGAGCAAGCTCAATGAAATCAACGGGGCTTTAACTAAGTTAAATTCCACTGATTTCAGTGGGTCTACTTTAAGTATGACTTAGCTTGCTGGCACACAGAGGGTTCCGGGCAGCACCATTCAGAAAGCGCTGTGCCGATATTCCCCCTCCTTCTGCTTAATGGATTTTCTGTGGTGGGAAAGGACAGGAGCAGTGGAGAGAAAACAGGAACATCATGGGAGGAGGCGACGCTCTTCGGATAACCCATAAAAGTGCATGAATGAGGCAGGGCAGAAGAAAAGCCTCCTGGGTTTGGATCCAGTCCCACAGGATCTTGCCGCGGCACCAAATACCCAAAGTCCACTGAATGCACGAAGTCGGCACGTGCAACCGCTATTCGTTTTTTGGTTTATCGGGGTCTCTGGAACCAAACGCCCAGAGGGCAGCTGCATGACTCTCCTACAGCAAAAATGGCAGAGGGTCTTCAGGCACTGGAAAGAGCGACGCGCGTATAGTCAGAGGCACGGAGAGTCAGGCGACTCCCGCTTCCCGGCGAGGAGAGCCCCGCACGTGCAACAGGCAGAAGCGGCTCACCCCGTGCAGCCCTCCAGCTCCTCGCCGGTGCAGAACAGGGGTCGAGCACGGGGCCACAAGCGCGGCTGGCGCGGTTTAAGCACGGCACTGGAGAACTGCAGGCCCTGATGCCTAGTGGTCATTACAGTCCCCCGACAGCCCATTTTCTCTCCTGCTTCCCCCGGGCGCGCTGGGCAGGCAGAAAGACACCACACTGCATCCTTCCACCGGACCTCCTGGGCCACCATCCTAGGTCCGTTCCCACGATCCCAGGCACGTTTCTGGAAGTCGGGCAACTTCCAGAGCGCTGCGTGCCTGCGACGCGTTTCTTCTGCGCCATCCAATTCAGGACGGGGCCCCGCAGCCCGATCCTAGGCAGGCTCCTCCAGCCCTTTCCCTCTGCAGCGCGGGCACCGTCGGAAACCCCTCCGGGGCCGCGGGGCGCCGCCCCACAGCAGGGGCTCCGCGGGCCCGCCGCACGCCGCCCGCCCGCCGCGCCCGCTTACCTGCGACGATGGCCGGGTCGCTCTGCCCGCCCTCGGGCCGCACCCAGGCCTCCAGCGTGAACGCGGCGCGGGGCAGCTCCGCCAGCGCGCCCGGCCGC